TAAACTATTCAAAGCCGTCTAAAACTAAAGAAGGTAATTTAATTTCAAAATATACACAATATAAATTTCTGCCACAAATTGGAAAACAATTGTTTTCACTGTAAATATTTGGAGGATATTCAAAATGGTCAGCTAATCGGTCTAAACTTTTATAAAGGGGATCTAAAAGGCAAGAATCATCTAAATCCTTTATGAACTGAGTTACCAAGTACCAAGCATTAAAATAGCAGATGAACATAAGTATTTGGAGAGGAAAACAGATATTCGAAACATACAAAATGGACTTTGAAGAAGAAGAATACTTTAATATACCATAACCAGTTTTGTGGAGGAAAATTACCTCATGGTCTAACATAACCTCAGATATAACGACCTTTTAGGTTCAGGTATCTTAAAAACATAACGTGATGGGATGATGAGATTGAATGACCAAGTTTCTCATCTAAGTCAATCACATTTTGTCAGCTTATGTCACTGCAACAATCTTGGCGCTATTTGTTCTCCAATTTGAGTAAAATTACTACAATAATTAATATTATATCCCCACCCATAACCGTATTTCCAAATGTACTAGTTACATTTTTAATATATCAAGGCCAATGTTCTCCTTAGTAAAAATCAATATAGTACATTTTTTTTGATAAAAAAGTTGGTGTGTTATTCTTTTCAAGAAAAAATAAACAAATACTTATCTGAAACGGTTGCTTTTACGAAGTAAGCAAATTGGAAAATAATTGCTCAAAATTAATTTTCCCTGCAATACACCTAATTTTTTGTTTCTGGAATCGAACAATTTCTTTGAATTTCTTTGTAAAAGTTTAATCTTTTACTGTCTTCCGCCTATTGCTATTAGTACTAATACTATCTAAGGTAGCACTAGTGGGAATATTAAATGGCATACCCTATCATTAAAAAAATTGAAAATAAAAATTGACAGGAGTCAGACATTTTCATTGAGAGAACCACCTACCTGACTATACTGAATTAATGTGGACCATTTTGGTAATGCATGTATTGGTATCTTGGTATGGGGAAAGTTTTAAACAGTTCTGTTGCTAACTTAATGTCGCTTGCGGATCGGTCCTAGTTCTTCATTATTTTGAGTTATTTTGAAAAAAATTAAATGTATCGTTTTCTAAAATCGTCAGTAACTTTTTTATTTAGAGCAATTTTTAAAATCTGAAAACACTTTTTCACGGCAAGTTTTTCTATGAATTTCACTGTATATTTAGATTTTCATTGCGCCGTTTCGGTTGCGAGAAAACATTATCAAGTTTTTTTTCTTATGGGCGCCATATTGAATCTGAAACTGAATAAATAGAACATTTTTGGCTTTTCAAGGATATAACATAAGTAAGAAAAAATGTCAAAAACAACCTCAAAAATCAATGTTTTTACTAATTCTAACAACACTGCATAATTTCTCGAAACTACTATAAAATAGTAAAAAGCTTATACTTAATGTCATGGCGTTGAGTTGAAAAAATTACACATTGCATTATTCCAATGAAGAAAACTGTGATATGTTGGAGTGCTTTATTAATAATATAGAAAAGCAACTGTGTCATTAAACAATTATATTAGAAATTATCCCGAAAGGCAACCACCAAATGAAATTTATCACAAATTTGAGAATAACAATAATAACTAAGACAATAATAACATTGGATTAACGCAAAGCCATTTTGCCGATTTTAAAACAAGCGTCACTCTTAACTGTTAACAATTAACTTTATGATTAATAATAGTTCAAAATGACAAGCAGTTTGAAACAAACGAAAATATTATCGCCAAATAAATTAAAATATTGAGTTGTTTTTGAAATTGTTTCTTACTTATATCATTGAACAGCCAAAAAAATGCTCTACTTGCTCAGCTTAAAATTCAATATGACTACCATAAGAAAAAAGAAAGTTGATGATGGTCGCAACCAAAACGTCGCAATGAAGATCTAAAAGTAGGTACAGTGTAATTCCTCGAAAAAACTTGCTATGAAAAAGTGCTTTCAGATTTTAAGGATTCCTCTAGGTAAATAAAAAAGTTACAGACGATTTGCGAAAACGCTACATTTACTTATTTTCAAAATAACTGAAAAACCTGAAGAGCTAGAACCGGTCTTCAAGCGCCATTAAGTTGTCAACAGATCTGTCTAAAACTTTCCTCATTTAACCATTTTCCTATCTCTTATAGTCAAGATACCAATACATACATCACCAAAATGATCCATACTGTATATTAATTTACAAACACTCTAAATTCTGAAGTTAAATTGGCTTAATTTATGAAAGAAGACAGTTTTAAGACAAAAATCAATAAATAGTTTTACAGCTTTTCATAACATTAGATTTCATTTCGCAAGATTACTTTTCTTAAAAATTGTTTTAGGTACATTTTCTGATTATCGACACAATACATTAACCACAAAACTTGTTGGGTTATACTGATTATGTGTAATAGAACAAAAAATTTTGTTGGATTTCTGTAGCTTCTATAAATTAGCCAGGAAATTGGAGAGCGATTCTACTTTATTGGCTAATTTTGAGAATTTTTGTAACTTCTAACATTTTTTCAACAGCATCGGTTTTAGTAAAATTCTAAATTTGTTTTATTATTTTCAATACCTTCATATCGAGTTTGTTAGTACAGTTAGTCTGGTATAAGTCTATCACAGTTACCATGAGTGAACTTTATTATAACTCTAAATTTGAACAAAAAATTGGCCAATATATCGAAATACGTATGAAAAAGTTCCACAAACATATATTGCTAACCAATTTTTGAATTTAAAAACAATTAATTTTTATAACTTAAACTTTACTGTTAATTTTAAAAACTTAAACTTAAATTGTCACACAATACTAGCATATACCTACAGCAGTTCTACAAATACTATATTCCCCTTATACAATTCACTTTCAAAATTATGGCCATTCAAGATAGAGCAGAAAATGTATTAGTTGCACATTTAAAGCCGCGGCCGTCCAGGTCGTTGAATATTCAACACGAGGACACCCTTCGTTAGGCTCCTTTTTAAGAATGGACTGTACCGTTGCCGCTGCATATAATTAATTGGCAAATGAGAAGGATCGATACGGTGCTACAAACTTTAACTACCCACTCTTGTACACTCACTTTCATTTGTCACACTTTTGTACAACAAACGATGCAATACTATTTATTTTAAAGAAGTAGAATAAATTTTTTCGCAAAACCTTGGAGATCTACAGGCTGTTAAATTAAGAAAATTTAAAGAGATAATAACATAATTTTATATCGATTGACCTACACAGCCACACAAAAAATCGAATTTTATGGGTCGCTGAATCCGAATCCTAGGTCCATTTAACCCCATCACCTCAGGATTTTTCATAACCTCAAAATAAACGATATTCTGAACAATTAAACCATATAACCATAAGTTTCAAGCTTCCAACGCTCGCTAAATCCAATTAACCAAATCCCATAAACATTTAACCCAATGATATCCCAACCTAATAAGCCCATGAACCCAAACCCCAATAACCCTATAACCCCATAACAAAGAGAATAAATCAAAGGCAATCTGTATTATTGCAAAATTTCACATAGTTTAAGAACCCCTTGAAAACCCAAGTACTCAAACCCAAAAAATTCCCATAACACTATAACCCCATAACGCCGTAACTTCATAACCCCATAACTAATAAATCATAGGCAATCTATATTATGGATATTATGGATAAACGTTAACGTGGTAGAGGATTTCTTAAAAATTGATTGCCTGTGATTTATTCCTTTGGTTATGGGGTTATGGCGTTATAGGATTATTGAGATTTGGTTAGGATATCATTGGGTTATATATTTATGGGATTTAGTTAATTGGATTTAGCGTTGGAAGCATGAGTGTTACGGTTATGTGGTTTAATTGTCCAGAACATCGTTTTTTTTTGAGGTTATGAAAATCCTCAGGAGATGGGGTTAAATGGACCTCGGATTCGGATTCAGCGTATCAAAAAAACGTATAATAAACATGGTCTGATCTCTGGGTTAATTTTTTTGTGTAGCTGTGTTATTTAAAACAAAACAACAAAAGGTTTCCATTTACTAATCATTGTATTTGTAACAAAATTTAAATTTTAATATCAAAATAAAAAGAATAAAAAATTGTTTTCTTTGAAAACTGAGATATTTTTCTAAATTAAAACTTTTTAGAAATAATTGATATGGTGCAATTTAGATTTCATTGCAAAAGAATCAGGTTGGACTACATACATTTTTTAAGACACCTACTAAACTGGACGAATACTCAGGGGACTATAATAGATACATATAAAATGATTTGATTTAGTGCAAATTAAAAACAATTTCAAAGAATTGGAAATTTAAATTTGGCGTGTAGACATCTCAGAAAACTATTTATTTCAACTTTAATCACCACCATTAAGAAGTATTAACGTCTGAAAGAACAAATAACAGATTTCAAACCAATGAATGTGATGACACAATTATGGATTCTGAGAATTTTCATGCGACATAAATGATTGGTTGCTAGGTAATTTTGTTTACTTATAGGGAGTGGCCACCTACGCATAACAGTCAACCAATGATGACAGTTTTTTAAACGATAGGTTCTCATATTTACCCGTCCTGCTATCGATTGTTTTATATAACTCCTTTCCTGTGAGCTAATCGTAAATTCTGTTAAGTAGGTAATACAAAAGTTAATTGCTATGAAGGAAAAAAGTAAAGTAGAGCTATTTTATATAGGTAAGGAAAACATAAGGCTTAATATATAAAAAGTTCCTTAGTTGAAAAATATTAGAACGTTAAAACCTAGAAAACGTGTTTGGTACTAGTTGCTCTTAAACTTAATAGAAACTTGTTTAAAATTATTGATATCAAAAGTATCTCCATAACTGATATCACAGGAATCTAATATCACTAATTTTGAGTTCATAAGTAATAAATTCAGTAGTAGGTGCAACAACGCTTTTGAAGGTGGGATCAAATAAAATGTTTACCTTGAAAGCCTTATATGAAGATACAACATATGATGCTCCATCTTCCAGTTCATCTAATCTGTACTTCCTATCCCCATCCATTGAAAAAATGTATCTCGCACCCCGAGGAAGATCCATTCTAAGAGACAATTTATCCAGAAGAGACTCCAAACTGACAATATCCCTGCCTGGTTTGAATCTAAAACCCAACAAAATTAACTGCAGTGTTTCAAATTCTGGTTTAAATGAAATTAATTCCGTATGAATTTGATGGAATATCACAAATATTTTTCCAAATTTGGGACAACATTCAACGGTCATCTTTGCCACTTGGAGAAAAGTAGTTATTTGTGAACTTTTTGAATATGTTTTTACAGTTGATGGTAGTGCATACATTGTTTGTGTGCCCAAATGAATGTTAAATTTTCATAAGGCCATTTGCTAGTACTTATTGTACCTACTAATGCAGGAATATTTAAAATAAATATTATTATTAGTTCTTTTACTTATTTTAAAGACATCAAGTTAAACCAAGTAAACGATAGTAGATAATATGTGTATTTATAAACAATTTTGTGTATTAATTTATTAATTCGAATCGAAAAAGCAATCCTCAAAATGCTGAAATAGCTAAGATCAATCAATAATGGCTAATTCTAAATCTATAATTCTCCAGGCAACTTTACCTAAATTCCACTCCAGGAAAAAAGGGATCTCCATTCTTATAGAACACCACTCTCCTGGCCTTCCAGTAGGAGAGGTTGCTGTAACGGCTGGTGGCCATCTCCACGCGGCTCTTCGGCCTGGCAGGCGGCATCATGGAGGAGGCGTCACTGGCGTTGTCCGCCATTGGTGGCGTGTTTGGCCTGGAGGCCACTGCAGATCTCCAGTAGCCACCTGGATATTATTTTGTTTATTATTACCAGATTTTGCTTAAATAAAATGATAAAATAAGAATGCCTAAGTAGAAACTTGTTGTGGAAAATAATATTTTTCAAAAACTTCAAGAGAATAAATTACACAAAACTTTGTTATGGATAAGTGGACAAAAATATTCAGGCCGTTCTGCTTAAGAACTAGTCACTCTCGTAACTTTTTAACTGTGACAATTTCTTTGGTGAAAAAATTAAGAAAGTACTGTTGGGATTTTTTTTAAGAAACAGTCCCAATAAAACTTTATTATTTGTTTCAGATTTGAATAGAAATTTTAGTAGGTATGTCATATGATTTCGATGTTTTTTTTTAATATACAGAATGTCTTAATGTATCTACAGACCTGCTATAATTTTTTTAAAGAGTTAAATCTAATCATTTTGATTAATTGAGCACCCTTTGAAATCCCTACGAGTATATCTCAAGTTTCATTAATTTTAGGCACTCTGTATTTTTTTTTATAAAGCTTAAAGCTTTCAAGGCATAAGCTTAAAAGCTTATGCCATGAAAGTATCTGAAAATAGTAAGGTACCTTTCTATAAGATGGTTGTGAAAAGGTACGAATGATTTTTTAAACCTTTCTCAATGTTACTTTATCATTTTGAGATGCTTCCAAGTATTACGTTTTCCAAGGAAATAAAAATCACACTTTTTTGAAAATTTTGAGAATTATATAAAAATTACGGAAAGCTATAAACTACCTAAACTTGAGATAAGGGAGTTGTACTGAAAATTGTTGAATTAAGTCACGTTGTTAGATTTTCCGTAAGAAAAATGCATATTATGATTTAATGTAACCCTTAAAAACATCATAGCAAGCCGCGCTGTGTCACCATCATTATAGAATTTGGTTCTGAAGATGCATTAAACATTCGTGCATTTCACAAAAACGCTACAAGCTATAATTCCACCATAATCGTTCCAATTTTAAAAAACAAAAATTGGCGTTCATGGCACCGAAAATCCTTTTTTTTTCAAACCTATCTTAGTGACAAGGGTTTGTTATTTTTTTAATGGAACGATTTATTTTTTCTATTTTTTCTGGTAGAGATTTTTTAATCCGACGTTGTATAACAACTTGACTCAATTTTGGGGGGAAAGTTATAGGCAACAACATTACTGAGAGTAGGTATTGCTAATATTTATAGCTCGAAAAGGTGAATTACTGAAAATGATGGTTTATATGGAATTTCAACATAATTCAACAATTAATTTGTATTTAAAATAAAAAATAAGGAAAACGAATCCTCAACTAGACTTAACGTACATACATACAGGTATATCAAATTGTAACATATTGTAATCAAATAATGTGTCAGTTCTTTTATGGAGAAGAAAGTTTGTTTCCTTTTTGCGTTTTGTTCCTTGCCCTTGAAAATAGGAAGGTCATTATTGCTATTTAATAAACCCTAAATAGTTCAAAAACATTTCGTCTTTGTACAAAACACACTTTATGGAAACCGCAACCTTAAGGAAAACCTTGAAAAACAATGACAGTAAGTACAAGTTTGTAGTATTTTTGGAGCCAATATTTTGTTTTTTTAAAAGTTGCGAGGGTGCTTCTTATCATATCTGAACACCTTGCGAAATGTATTTCTCTTGAAATCGACTAAAGATAGTTAAATTCTGAATACGGTATTATATTTTCAGTAGCTGTCACTCAAATGTAGGATAAACAAAATTTGTTACATATTCATGCGGCCCTATGGCACCTGATTTTTTTATCAGAAACGTACCACGATTTTGATGCTGGAAAAAATAGTCATTATAAGACTTTTTGGTATTTAGCATTTTTTTTTATATATTTTTCGAGATAGTAACAATTAAAAATCACTTTCCTGAAGTTGCCTTGATATGCGGAAATAGACGGAGTTAGAAAAATGTTTAATCTAATTTTTTCTTCGACACGAATATATTTAATCAAATTTATGTGACAATTTACAAAAAGTGGCTCAATATTTGCATAACATTCATTCAAATAAATACTTCTCTAACTTCATATGCTTCTCGCATGTTACGGTCATGGAAAATTTCCTGAAGGTAATTCTCAACTGTTCAGGTCTCGAAAACAATTGAAAATAAAAAAAAAAACGTAAAATCTTACAAAAGTTATTTCCAGCGACACAAAAACAGAGATATATTCCTGATAAGAAATAATATTAAAGTGCCACAAAGCCATCAATTTACAGGGTGTATTAATATTCTGTACACACGGAACTAGGTACCGTAGCGCGGGGTTACTTTGCACAGGGGGGTAATTTTGCACGTTTATAATTAAAAAATTCTTATTCTATATACAGCGTGATTCATTAACAATGGGAAAATCGCAAGCTGAAGATACTACACGTAAAATGGTGACCATTGGCGCAAATACGCCTTATCCGAAAGTTGATAGTTTCGGAAATACAGGGTGTTGAAAGTTAAAATTTTAAATTGTTGAAAATTTGTGAAACTATATTTTTTTAAGCGACGAATAAGATGCGTGTTGCAATTTCAGCGTTGGTCGTAGAGGGCGCCACTTACGACCAATTTTACCGAAAATTTAGTTAATAACTTTTTACCCTGTATGTCTAACATGAAACTTGATTCAAAACCTGAAAGAGCAATAATTTTTCCATTAATTATGTACTCTTGTTTCATTTCCGTATCTCGATCCGTTTTCGAGAAAACGTTTTGATGATACGAGAAATTAAAAGCGGAACAAACTAAGTGTTTTTTCCTGTTATTACGACAATTAATGATAAAAGAAATGAAATACGTAATAATGATTTAAAGTAATAATTGTTCGAAGAATCCACCGTTAACACTGTTACACTTTCCACAACGTTTTCTGATATATCTTCAAGTTTGAAACAACATATTGGGATTGCGTCTGACTTCGCTGACAGCGATTCGTATTCTTTGGCACCACTCTTCACATGAACCAATAGATTCTTTGTAAACTATATCTTTCATTCAAGACCAAAAAGAAAAATCAAGAGGATTGAAGTCCAGACTTCTGGGTGGACAAGCAAAAATGCTTACATGGCCAATCCAGCGATTTGGAAAAACTACATTTAAATATACACGCACTGGCCGAGAAAAATACGGTGGAGTTCCGTCGTGCATGTCTCTTCTTAAATAAAGTAGAACTTCTTCAAGCCGTGGAAGGATTTTTGCTTGGCCACCCAGAAGACCAGACTTCATCCTCTTGATTTTTCTATTTGGTCTCGAATGAAAGATATCGTTTACAAAGATTCTATTGGTTCGTGTGAAGAGTTGTTGCAAAGAATACAAATCGCTGCCAACGAAGTCAGATGCAATCCCAATATGTTGTTTCAAACTCGAAGAACTCTCAGAAAACATTGTGTAAAATGTGTCAGTGTCAACTGTTGATTCTTCTAACAATTACTTTAAATCATTATTACGTAGGTATTTCATTTGTTTTATTATTAATTGTTGTAATAACATGAAGAAACACTTAGTTTGTTTCGCTATTACTTTCTCGTATCATCAAAACATAGTGTTCGTTAAATCTATTTTTCTCGAAAACGCATCGGGATACCGAAATGAAACAAGAGTACATAATTAATGGAAAAATGATTGCTCTTTCAGGTTTTGAACCAAGTTTCATGTTAGACATACAGCGTAAAAAGTTATTAACTAAATTTTCGGTAAAATTGGTCGTAAGTGGCGCCCTCTATGAGCAACGTTTAATTTACAACACGCATCTTATTCGTCGCTTAAAAAAATATAGTTTCACAAATTATGAAGTTCCTAACCTACATATTATCAGAATAATCGCAAAAAAACGATATAAAATTTTAACATTCAACACCCTGTATTTTCGAAACAATCAACTTTCGGATAAGGCATAATTACGCCAATGGTCACCGTTTTACGTGTAGTATCTTCAGCTTTCGATTTTTCCTTTGTTAATGAATCACCCTGTATTTGAATGTAAAACACTAAAAATAAAACAGTTTTCAAAATTTTATTATATTCGTTTACAGCATTTATTATCGCATTTTGTAATATATTTGTTTTGATTTAATATGTATTTTAATTTTGTTTCATAAAGTATTCATAAAATTTGCAATTGTATGTGGACCTTTAAATTAAACAAACTATTTAAAAAGAAAAGTTAAATTCTCAAAAATATAATTAGTTTCCTCCAATAGAATTATTGACACACAATTTTCAAAATTGCATATACGAGTAGAATAGTAAACGCATTTGACAGATTTTACCATCATAATATTCGCTAAATTGTAGTAATACCACGTGGTTGAACATAACAACCAAAGGTTATACCATCTTTCGAGATCTACAACTTTCAAAGGCATTAACACTGGAAAGTTATGGAAATGATATCTGTCTTTATTAATGAAATTTAACATTAATTATTTAATTTGCAATGAACTAAAAGTCTGAAGCAGCCAATTATACTCGAAAAGAACAAAAAAGTCCATCTTCATAGCAATACTACTTTTCCGTTTATCATTAAGGTTAAATAAATAATTTAAAGAAATAAAAAACACGAAACTTTTATTGTATTATTTGCTAGATGCGATTGAAACATCAGTTATAAAAAAACTAAAAATTTGTTATTATTATTGTTATTTACTGCATATTATTGAGTACATTGGAAGAATAATATCATTTGACGCAGTTTATCAAGCAGGCCACTACATACTCACTCTTCCTCATCCCCTACAAACAATCGCCAATCGCGCGCATGCAATTCAAAAGTCAGACGTCCGCCATCCGCGACAACAACACACAGCATGCAATTACCGTTAGCGTTGGGTGCCTCGTGGTCGTCTTCTTCTTCGCTATCGTGATTCTTGCGGTGTTGCGCGCCGTTGCCAGCAGCGGCCGAGGGTGCACTGGCGGGGTTCTGCGCCT